AAAAAAAAAAAAAAAACCTTCTCCGAAAGTGCATCTAAAGGCAAAGAGAAATGAGAAAAGAGGCCATTATGTAAAACATTTCAGAGAACAAGTGGAAAATAACTGATTTTGCTTGAGCAGGAATTGGAACTAAAAAGGGGATTATAGCCAATGTTAGCCATAGCACCATCTCTCCAGACAAGTCTCTAGATACAATTCAAAAGACAACCAGCAATACCTTATGACCACCGACATTGGCAGCTTTTACTTTATAACTCTCTTAACCCATCCACTCTTAATTTGAGGTTCCGCCATCTCCAGTTTATATAATTTATGGTTATAACTTTAAAATGATTCAGTAAAAGCCAAGCAATCAATTATCTAGAAAAAAGAAAAGCGGGCTGATCAATTAGCACATACTTTGAATAGCAGAGTTCGATGCCTGCATAGTCCAATGGAGAGGCTACCAATAGGGAGCACAATAGACCCCAAGCACTCCTTTAAGTCATCACTGCACTCCTTCCAAATTGTAACCAGATCATCTTCCCCACTGGAAGCTGCACCCCTAGCGAAGGAACCAAGAAAAAGTATATGATTATAACAAGAAAAACTTTTGCTTAAAGACTTAACTGGTAGCTCATAGTGCTCACCCCATATGATTACAAACTAGCTTCGCAAGCTGGTCAACAATTTCTTTCGTGGTGATGCAACTAGATGATAAGTTGTGAGCCCAATTCTGCAGCTCTTTCAAGCTGGGATCAGCTCGCGTATCTACGAAAATCACTTCAACCGAAGAGACCAGAACAGGATCAACTGCCTTTAACAAATCAAGAGATGTGATGTGGCCGCTTTCTTGATGATCAGAGCACACAGCCCAAACATATGGATCCATCCCGTGAATCATGTAAAACCCATCAGGAACTTTGTCGAAATAAGATAAGCAGCCATTTACCTATTTCATAAAAAATAAAAGTAAGAGACCTAAAAATGAGTAAATTAAGTAAGGGACTTAAAAATGATTAAAATTAACAAATTTTCATGACAAAATAAGAGAAACTAAAAATCAGAGTTTTCAAACGGCCGATGGAGGAAAATAGCGGCATGCTGAAATCCGGCCATGGTAGCCCCAACACGGCACTGTAACTGCCATCCTTCACAATTTTATAATGGCGGTTACGCATAAATCCACCACACCATACCGCCATGGCATAAAAATAACACAGGTAATTAACCGAGTATACTGTATGATACATTGCGGAAAGACCACCATAATCGTGTGTAAACTGAGATATATTATGGTCCAATGACCTGTCGTCCAAATGACCATTTCAGTGCTAATCATTTGTGTACCTTACAATGTTGAGCTGTTAAGTATCCTAACTCTTCTGGAATAATAACGATACTTTCTCTCTCAATTCTATAGACATAGTTACGCTAGAAAGTGAGTTTATTCCAGATAATAAACAGATTGAAACAGACATGACATAACACCAACCCACAATAAATCAATTTGGTTCATGCACCATGATCATGATTCAAATGCCACTGAGTTAAATGAAAGGAGCAGACTCCTTCTTGATAATAAGGAATCAATCTCATAAATATTAGCTGCATTTTGATTGAAGTATCTCATGCTACAAACTTCAAATGGATTACGCTTGTTTGAGTAGTATGAATTTCAAATTCTTAGCTCCTTTGTTTAATATTTGAGATATTACTCTGTGACATGAATAATCACCTCAAATCCTAAACCCTCCATACTCGGAATTTGGTCAACTTGCTACGAGAAATAACTATGCTTTCACCTTTCGAAAGTTGGTCCCTTTTGCCTCGAAAGTCAAAGGAACGCACCCTGCCACGGAAGATATGGAAATCATAGGTAGCCAATTATAGCAGTTCAAATCACTAGTATGCCAAATTTTAAGGGACATTTTAACCTTTCAACTCCTTAGTTTGTTAGATCGTCTAAATAAATAAACTTCCACTTATGAGCCAAAAATGCATAACAAGATTCGGTTATAAGGTATCCATGTGTACAAATAGCAGTTGGATTGTAATCCCTAAAATAGTAATAACAATAATACTGATCAAACCATATCAACCCTAGGAAGTTGTCTTACAAATACACAACAAATTCTATCTCAAATTTGTCAAAACAATAAAGTATGTAAAAGAAATTGTTCCCTGTCGAAAACTGTGTTAGTTTTTGGTTTTTTCAAAGAAAGTACATGAAAAGAGAGATCATACGTAATTCGGAATGAGTGTGTGTTAGTGGAGAAATGCATTTAGTAGGGTAATGTCTGTCATTGGTTGTGATCTGGGGGAGCAAATTGAAATAAAATTGATCGGAATTCAGAAAAAGGCAAAAAATCGTTGTCTTGCAAACCTTAATACAGTGCACCTCAAGATTGTCTGATATTAGCCTATTACATGCCCGGTGGACTAGTAAATTCGTATTTAGTCTTAAAATCACTTTTTGCCTTACGCAATAGCATCAAATTCACACAATCAGTGATGAATTTGATTCATAATGAATCTCAGTGCATCAACTCGGAAAATTATATACATTATAAACGTCAAATGATTTTTAACCAAACATATATAACCAGAAACTCCCAGCAAATAGAGACAAGGTTGCCCAACAGTTGAAGCAATTAGATAATCAAGTCCACCTCATTACCTAAAATCACCTTGCACTTAACCACTTAAGTAGAACTTTCTCTACCACTCAACCTAACAATCCTTGTTCAATTAATTCTCATCAGAGATACTCAACTTTGTGACATTCGCACTAACTATCATCACAAGAAATTTTCATTGTCAACCGACTTTATAACCAGTGCTATTAGTACCGATTCGTTTGTCAGCATTCAGCCGCCAGTCAGTAACACCTATCCACCTCTGAATTACTACTCATGTAAACAACCTATTCGACATGAAGCAACCACATAAATAATCCCATCCAGAATATATTCCGTCTTACCCAAAATCGGTGAGAAACTGCATCTGCTGAGGCAGCTGATGAAGAAGCACCCGATGTGGATTCCTCAGGCCCGGGATCCAGAAAATTAGGATCGTCAGCACAGGTAGCTTCTGAAGAGAGGCGGAGGGCCAAAGCCAGCTGCAACTGGTAGCTCTCTTCCGTCTGCTGCGCCCAGCTCTTCGAAGACGACGAGCCGTTGCCGCCGACAGAAATATCCGCCGTTCCCACCCGGGATTCACCGCCGCCATCGCTCGGATGACCATAAGGCGGCTCGGGGCCTGAGAACGAGGGCGCGAAATAGTCCCCCGAGATCGAGCTCCCGCCGAAGCTGCTCCCGCTCGACTGCCTCTGCAGCCCAAAAGACCCATGAAACGGCGCCGTCCCGATCCGGCTCTGCTGCGGCTGGTGCGCCCGGATCATCCGCTGATCAATCGATTCCCAATCCAAGGATGAGCCTCGTTCGGACCTCAGTTTATTCTTCTCGCCGGAGCGAGACTCGTAATAGATAGCAGCAGCCTCGCCATCGCCGCCGCCGGAGAGCTTCTTCTGCTGAGGCGGTGGCTGGTGGTAGACTGGTTGGTTGGTATTCTGATTCAGCAAGGTGTAATTCGATCGCCTGCTAGCCATTTCCATCGACCTGTTACCTGTTCGCCGAAGGGAGAGGACCGGAGCTCATAGGAGATGGAGCACCGCCATTTTTCAGATATTTTTCTAATTTTTTTCTTTCTCTCTATATATTTTTTCTTTGGTAAAGTTCCTCTTTCCCCCTTTCCTCCTACTATAGTCCTCTTTGTCGGAAGGAAGGGATACGTTCGGTACATGGTGTAATCTCAATATTCTTCTTGGACTTATTTTATTTTGAAGTTTCTAATTGCATTTGTCAATAATCAAAAAAATGCTCACCAACGTGTAATCTCAATATTCTTCTTGCTCTTATTTTATTTATTTTTCAAGTAACATTTGAGAATGATAAAAATTGTTCACCAAACCATCCTGCGCAAATTAAGATGTATTCATCGGTTATGTGTTATCAACTTATGATTTTGTGAATTTTGGCGTTATATTTGATATGGCTCGGGTAAGTTGGCCCTTATTAGCTCGGCTAATAGGTCTTAATAGGTAGCTCGAACATGGTGTTGACCTATTGACAGGGCGTTTGGCCAACTAAAGACAGTTCATGTTGGTGGACCTAAAATAGTGGGTTAGTGGACCTATGTGCAACTTACACGTGTAAACCTATTAACAGTGTATTTGATAGATCTATCGATAATAAGTTGGTGCACCTACGATAGTGTACACGTGGAGGGCTACTTAGAAATGATTTAGATTATCTTAGAGATAAAGATGGGTCTCAGGTAGACTTTACGGACATCAAGATAACTTTCGGGCATACCATAAGGCACTCGGGCAGTAGGACGGGTAGACATTCAGGCAGTCGGGTCATTCGAGCAGCAGAACTGGGCAGAGCTTGGGCAACAAGTCAAGAGTTCACTATATATAGTTACAAGGTATGAAGGAGCAAGGATTACATTCTATAAGTTTTACAATATACAGACATACATTCTTTCATATTATGAGAACTGACTTGATCGTCGGAGGTCTGTCGCCAGAACAATTCCCGGCATGTTTTGCAGGAACTCAAGAGGTCAAATCGATTCAGGGTCACCATAAGAGCTGCTCATGGAGGAATTTCTCATTGGTTGGCATCGCTGTTGAAATTATACCATTTCGAAGGAGCACACGTCGGAGAAGGCAACGACGACCGACGAGTGCTAGAGGAAGAACCACAACGATAACTGGAATGAAGCATGGTGATCAAATCGCCTTTTGGAGCTGGACCACCGGTATGATGGTCAAGTGAGAGCGGAGCTTTGGTCACTCTTAGGACGAGTTTGCCAGTTGTGGGTCACGTCCCCACACCAAAGGGAGATCCGGTGAGCTCAGATCTGGTTTGGTGGCCGGGAGGGGAGGGGCATCCAATAAAGAGAGAAGATAGTCGCATCGGATCAACAGGTTGTGGTGGTTGTCGGAGGTTCAAAGGGAATGTCGGAGGTGCGATGAAGGTGGTGAGGTCACGGAGTGTGTAGGGGGACCAACCGGAATATCTAGAGGGGAGAACCAGAGATGAGAAGATCATACAACTTACGAAGGTGAAGCTAGATGTTGTAGCCATTTTTTTTTTTACCGAGTACCGAATCGAAAGATTCGTTCCTCGAGTCGATCTCAAGGAAGGTTAGCCAGATATACTTGTGCGATATTCTAAAACAAAAGGAGAAAATAAACTTGAACACTCTAATCAAGATGATTGGTTTTAATTATCAACTACGAAAGTTTAACGAAACAAATTGAAATTTCAAGCAAAGACGGTGAAGAAGCAATGACAAAGAAGCTAGGGAGTCGGGAATATTTGTTTTGGTTTGAATTGCAATTAACGGGCAAGTGATCGTTCGGTTAAATGATTCAAATAACCTACGCCTAGAGATTAATCCTCAATAACTCTTCGTAACATGAGAATAAACATAAATGAAAAATCACACGAATCAAACAACACATAGGTAATACAGTTACGAACAAACCTATTTCATACGAGCCTTGATCGACCAACTCTTCTCCTTTCGGTTAAGAGTTGATTAAATTATCCTAGACAGTGTTTAATCGACTAAACATTTAGACAAACCAACATCATACGAAAATGAATTAAATTCAATCGAAAATCAATTGGAGATTGAAGTGTCACCCTTCAACAATTCTCAACATTCAAGTACAATAATGAAAAACCCTTTTTAAGAATAACTCGCATAAATTGAACTATTCAACAAGCACGATAATCACAAACAAAATCAAGACATCATCCTCTATCCCTAGCTAAACGAATTAGCTACTCATATTGAATTCACAACAACTCAAGCATTCATATCCATAGATTAATTGAAAAGGAAAGCTTACGATTGAATAAGAAATCCCAAGTTGAAAAAATGAAGAAATCCAAGCGCAAATCCACAATCAATTGTGTGTTATAAGGTGCAAAAATAAAGAAAAACGAGATCGGGGATCCCTTTTAAGGCCAGGGGGGTCATCCCAATATATAAGGCTCGAAAAACTGAGCAAAAACGAGAAAAAAGGGAAAAAAAAATAAAAACAGGGTCGTCGACATCGGGAGATGCACCGGAGGCTCTGTTAAAGTCGCGACTCGCAACTAGGCACTCGAGATGCGGGTCGCGGCTTGGGCTGCACTGCATGACTTTATGATTCGGGCTTGTTTGGGCTCGTCCGAACTCGAAATTGAGTTCCGTATTTTGCTACGCGTTGCCAATGAACCCTTCTATTCAATTATGCTCTCAAAACTATTTTTTCCATAAAATAATATCTAACTGAAGCTCATGATCTGCACACCAAAAATGACAAGAGCCCGAAGAAAACAACGACACACGAACGAAACACATAAAGACTCAAAATAAATAAAAACTCGCAATAAAACACAAAACGGACTAAAAACGGAAGAAATGACCTAATACGAGGGATAAAGGAAAAAAGCAAAACAAGCATGGAAAATGCAACAAAAATAGGACAAACAAACTCCCGCACACTTAAATATTTGTTCGTCCCGAACAAAAAGAAAAGAAAAAACACAAAACTAAAACGAGTCTGGACAACAGTCATTAACAAGATAACCCTAAAAAACGTTCAACTTCAACAACAAGCATTCAAATGGCACATACGAGAATTACACAACTACATGCTTGATCACTATACTTCGACATGACGTTCTCTCAAGTATGGGAATGTATATTTGTGCCTCTCTCATATTCTTATACAGATAAAAATAGGAGCACTCAAATTGGTTGATAACAAGTTCAATCACATGCTTGCTCATTGTCTAACTTCTACTCTAAACCAACCAAAATCGATACTAGTGAATCAAAAGGTCTTCCAGGATTGTAAATTAGGCTCTTTGGATATGTAGGATAAATGTAGGCTAAGTGGCTCGAATTCATTACATAACTCAAACACCTTAGCCCAAAATAATACACTCAGCCGGTTGCTCAAACATACAGGATTCTCCCCCACACTTCTCATAAGTCCACACGTTTCACCCATCTTATTTTTTTTTTCTTTTTTTTTTCTTTGCTTTTTTTATTGGTCATTTTATCTAGGTTTAGCCTTCGAGTTTTCTTACTCATTACTCATCTCCACTAGTATTAGTGGTCGGAGCACTTGGAGTATAATCCATTAAACTTTTATTTTTTATTGTATTATTATTATTATTTTAATGAATAAAAACAACTCTGCACCACAATCGGTCACCCCACTTCTCAACTCCCCGACTCCACAAGAGTGTAATTACGAGGTTATCGAAAACAGAAATAATTAGGCTCAAAAGGCCAACTAGGGGATAATTTACAGACTCAAGGCAAGTTCTAATCAAACAAGAGCACGATCGATGTATCACAAGAAACAAATAAGACTCAAATCTCACTAGGTAAATATATGAATGCCAATCAAAGTAATCGACCAAGCTTTTTATCATGATATGTCGCATATGAACAACATCACAGCTCATCGAATTCATCAAATAAGTCTTAACTAATCTTGAAATTTCCAAAGTCCATACTCACAAAACACACAAACTGACACAAG